CACCCATTCATGAATTCATGCACCAGGCCTCTAGTAAACTATAACAGAATTTTCTGTTACATAGAAAGAATCGCTCTTTATTATTCAATACATTTTCATTGAGAATCTATTGATGTCAAGTATTGTGGCACTTAGGCATTAAGGGTACAGTGATGAGTGAAAATAGACACCTCTTCCTGTAAGAATTTAAAAAATACTATTATTTGAAAAGTATGGAAAATACATTTTTTAAAATCCCAATACTTAAAGAAAAGTATATAGAGTAAGAAGGCAAGGATCTTCTTCCCTTTTCAACCACTCCCTGCTCCTCTCCAAGATGCCCAGTTGGTTTGATAAAGGGACACCCCAGGACTGTTCTTGTGCTTAGAAAGGCATGTCTGAAGACACCTGCAAAAAAAGTGCTTTTTATTTTGGACAAAGTGGGATCCTTCTGTATATTTGGTCTGCAGCTTTTAAAAAGATGACTTAAAAAAGAAAAACAAAAGATCACTTAATATGCCATAGACATCTTTTTTTTTTTTTAATATATTTTATTGATTGTTTACAGAGAGGAAGGGAGAGGGATAGAGAGTCAGAAACATCGATGAGAGAGAAACATCTATCAGCTGCCTCCTGCACACCTCCTACTGGGGATGTGCCTGCAACCAAGGTACATGCCCTTGACTGGAATCGAACCTGGGACCCGTGAGTCTGCAGGCTGACGCTCTATCCGCTGAGCCAAACTGATCAGGGCTGCCATAGACATCTTATCCTGTATAGTATTACATGTATAATCTGTGCCATAATTAATTTAATTAGTTCTTAGGTTTCCACCATCTTGCAATTGTAAACAGTGCTCCAGAGAATATTTTTATATATATACTAGAGGCCCGATGCATGAAATTCGTGCAAGAGTAGGCCTTCCTTCCCCAGCTGCCGGCACCGATTTCCCTCTGGCACCCAGTCCTGGGGTCCTGGGCTTCCCTCGCAGCTCCAGCTTCATCTGGAAGGTCGTCCAGAAGGACATCCGGTCTAATTAGCATATTACGCTTTTATTATTATAAATAGCTTTAGCCTGCGTGTAGTTATTTATGTATACTGTATTTCTACAAGAGGGATTGCTGGTGCTCACATTTTAAATTTAATAGGTCCTAATAAAAAGATAATTGAAAGATGTGTAAAAGGATCCAAGTAGACATTTCACCAAAAAAAAAAAAAAAAAAAGAATACACAGATGGCCAATAAGCACATGAAAAAAATACTTGACATCATTAGTCATCAGGGAAATGTAAATCAAAACTCCTAGGATGTCTATAATAAAAAAGAGATGGACTCTAATAAGAGTTAGTGAGGATGTGGAGAAATTGAAACCCTCATACATTGCTTATGGGAATATAAATGATGCAGCCTCTTTGGAAAACAGTCTGGCTGTTCCTCAAACAGTCAAACATAGTAGTTACTGTGTGATCCAGCAGTTCCACTCCTAGGTATGTAGACAAGAGAGTTGAAAATATGTCCATACAAAAACTTAAACACAAACGTCCATAGCAGTGTTATTTATAATAACCAAAGGGTGGAAACAGCCTAAATGTCCATCAGCTGACAAATGGATAAATAAAATGTGTTATATCCATACAATATTAATCAGGCATAAAAAGATGAACCTTGAAAATAATGCTCAGTGGAAGCCAGGCACAACCACATATTGTATGATTCCTTTTATATGAAACTAGAAGCCCAGTGCACGAATTCATGCACAGGTGGGGTCCGGCTGGCCTGGCCCCTATAGGGGCGGATCGGGGCCAGGCCTATCAGGAGGAGGAGATGGCGGGAGGTTGGCTGGCTGGCCCACCCCAATCAGGGCCTGATCAGGGCAAGGCCAGCTGGGGGGAGGAACTGCGGGCGATTGGCCGGTTGGCTCCGTCCCCAAATGGGGTGGGGGCCAATCGGGGGTCAGCAGCCACGGGAGGGGCTGCGGAAGGTTGGCTGGCAGGCCCCACCCCCGATTGGTGTGTGTGGGGGGGCCGATTGAGGGTGGAGCTGGCTGGGGGGAGGGGCCATGGGCCAATTGGGGGTGGGGCCGGCTGTGGGGAGGGGCTGTGGGCGGTGGGCTGGCCGGCTCCGCTCATAATGGGGGGGCCAATCGGGGGCCAGCGGCCAGGGGGAGGGGCCATGTTGGCCTGCCTGCCCTGCCCCTGATCGTAGTGGGGGGCCGATCTGGGGTGGGGCTGGGTGGAGGAGGGGCTGCAGAAGGTTGGCCAGCCAGCCCCGCACCCTATTGGGTGATCAGGGGCAGCCGGCCCCACCCCCTGATCAGGCCAATTCGCTGTCCGCAGTGGGCATCATAGCAACCAGTCGTTCTGGCATCCTGGTCTCTGGCTTTTTATATATATAGGTAGATATCCAGGATAAGCAAAGCTATAGAGACAATAGTGGTTGCCTAGGGCTAGAGGGGCTGGGAAGATTGGGGAGAGGGTGGTGATTAAGGGATGCAGGATTTCTATTTAGGGTGATGAAGAAGTCCTGAAATTGATTGTGGCGATGGTGGCACACCATTGAATTGTACACTGTAAGTGGGTGAATTGCATAGTATGTTTTAAAAATCCAGTAGGAGAAATATTGAGTTTATATATGAAGTACTAACTAAATTCCCACTAAAAAGTTGTTTCTATAGTCCTTCCCACCAATAATATACAAAGGTGCTCATTTTCTCACCAGCCCTTAAGATGGGAGGTTACCCACCTTAAGTTTTTTTCCAATCTGGTGGGAGAAGAGTGGCATCTAGTTTTGGTTTGTACTTGCTAATGAGGTTGAACATTTTTTTTTAAAATATATTTCTTTATTGATTTCAGAGAGGAAGGGGAGAAGGAGAGAGAGATAGAAACATCAATGATGGAGAGAGAATCATCGATTGGCTGCCTCCTGCACACCCCCCACTGGGGAATGAGCCTGCAACCTAGGCATGTGCCCTTGACCCTTGACCAGAATCGAACCTGGGACCCTTCAGTCCGCAGGCTGACACTCTATCCACTGAGCAAGCCAGCCAGGGCTGAGGTTGAACATTTTAAAGTATATTGGCCATTTGTAATTCTTTGATGAATTGTCTCTTTATATTTTGGGCCCAATTTTCTATTGTATAGTTTGTGTGTTTTTTCTTACTTATTGGTGGGAATTTTAGAATAATAAAATGTTAACATCTTTTTATTTACTTACTTATTTTTAATCCTCACCAGAGGATATTTAACAATTGATTTTTAGAGAGAGTGGGAGAGAGAGGGAAAGACAGAGAGAAATATCGATGTGAGAGAAACACATCGATTGGTTGCCTCCTGCATGTGCCCCGACCAGAGCCCAGGCCAGGGAGGAGCCTGCAACCGAGATATGTGCCCTTGACCGGAATCGAACCCAGGACCCTTTGGTCTGCAGGCTGACACTCTATCCACTGGAATGGGAATTTGGGGACAATACATTTACATGGTAAAAATGCAGTTGAGACAGAAGATACACAGTGAGCCTGCCTCTGGCCTTTGCCTCAGTTTCTTGGTCACTCTCCCTGTGGCTGCTCCCCAACTTGCCTTTTTTTTTTTTAAACTTAATTGTCTATCCTGGATATTGTTTTGTATCAGCATATAGAGCTTTTTTCTTGTGTGTGTGGCATCGTACTCCCTTGTAGGGATGAATCAGTTTCTCTAAAGTGGTCTAGATAGAATTGGGTTGTTGCCAACCATTCGCTATTATGCACATTGCTTTGAGAATATCTGTGCACATATATCTCTGCACATGTGTGCAACCACCGCTGTACAGTTCAGTACTAAAAGTGCAAGGTTGAAGAGTAAGTACAGTCGTAAATTAACATGGACGTTGCCAAATTGCCATCCGAAGAGCAAGTTGTACCAACTGACACTCTTTCCACAGCAGCAAGAATTATGAATCTTAAATTGTGAAGTACTTTAAACATGTAAAAAAGCACAGAAGATAATGCAACTAACCCACATGATCCAGAGATCACCACTATCCAGATGCTGGTCTGTACCTTTCCTGTCTCTGATTTTGATCCTTTCATCACATACTGTGTGTCCTTAAGCAATGCACGGGCTTGTTTTTACATATTTTAAAGATTCATATAAATAACATACCAGATTGTATGTGTCATTCAACAGTGTCGGTAAATTAGACATCATTCACTCATTTTAACAGCTCTGTACTTATTGACTGTATAAATATGTTTATCATTTCCTTTTTTATTTTTTTTTTTTATTTTTTTTTTTTAAATATATTTTATTGATTTTTTACAGAGAGGAAGGGAGAGAGATAGAGAGTTAGAAACATCGATGAGACCTTAAGCAATGCACGGGCTTGTTTTTACATATTTTAAAGATTCATATAAATAACATACCAGATTGTATGTGTCATTCAACAGTGTCGGTAAATTGGACATCATTCACTCATTTTAACAGCTCTGTACTTATTGACTGTATAAATATGTTTATCATTTCCTTTTTTAGTGGACATTTAAGTTGTGTTCACTTAGCTATTCCTAACAGTGCTGCAGTTTACATTTCTTACCTGTCTTCTCAAGCATGTGTGAAGAGATTCCTCTAGGAGATCAGGATGTAATCTTTGAAGTAGAACTTTGGTGTGTATGGTGGGTGCATCTGCACTAGAGTGTTAACTTGCTTTCTCCCATAGTTGTTCTAGTTTACACTTTTCCATAGTATTTTGTAGCTCTTGCCTCTCACACACTCAATAACACCTGTTACGTAGTATTAGACGAGCTGTCTCCTGTTGATTTTTATGTTCCAGATTTCTGGTGAGGTGGGGCATCTTTTCATATGTTAGCCATTTGGGCTTTGTTTTCTACAAATAATTATTCTTTGAAGATAAGCCTACTCACACAGACTAGGATCCTTAAGACATAGCCTAGGGTCAAGAATAGATGGGCACAAAGAAAAATAGTAAGAAAAACAACAAAAAAGAATAGATGTACAGAAAAAAAAATAGATGAGCCAAGAACTGTAAGAAGCATAACCTCTGCTTCTGATTTAGTTTAGACTCTGATTTTAAATAATGTAGAACTGAAAATTGTAAGAGACAGTTACTCATGTAGTTTTTAAACAGAAAACATATTGGTAAATCAGAGACCTTATATCATTTATCTATCGTGCAGATTATTTACTCCCCAGCTGAGCCTGAGACTATGTATGGGCAACTCGTACTCAGGGAAAACAAATTGTATTGGATTTCTTTTGGAAAATTTAAAAAATTTTAAACTTTGAATTAATTTCAGACTTAAACATCACAAAATAGTACTCAGAATTTGTGTACCTTTGCTAGATTCCCCAGTGTTAACATTTCATATCTCTCAGTATATATACATATAATATTTTTTAAAATATCTTTTTATGGATTTCAGAGAGGAAGGGAGAAGGAGAGAGAGACAGAAACATCAATGATGAAAGAGAATCATTTATCAGCTGCCTCCTGCACTCCCCACATTGAGGATTGAGCCCCCAGCCCGGGCATGTGCCCTGACTGGGAATTGAACTATGACCTCCTGATTCATAGGTTAACACTCAACCACTGAGCCATACCATACATACGTATAATTTTTTAAAAATTATTTGAAAATAAGTTGCTAACATAATGCCCCTAACTACTTTCATATGTATTTCCTAAAAACAAGAATTTTTTCTTTCATAATTGCATACATTATCAAACTCAGGAAATCAATGGAGTTCTTCCTTGAGCTCACTAATCAGCAGTCAAAGTTGTTGGCCATTTTCAAGCAATTGCCTCTGGCTGTGGTGGCCGGTGAGCACGGATTAGAGCATGTGATTATTGGACCAGTTTGCTCCACTGCTGGGGAGGCTGTCTGGCTAGCCCTGTATGACCACTCCGTGTTCCTTGCAGATCTCCTGCTGGGTCATGGTTAGCCAGAGGGGTGGGCCCACCAGGTCCCACCAGAGCCAGGCTTCTTTCTCGGAGATGGAGAAGTGGATGAGGCCAGGCACCTCAGACTCTTCACCAGGGGAGGATAGGACTGTGGCTGCTTCCCTTGCACCCCTTGTCCCTTCCCAGTGGGGGCAGACTCCAGCAGCTCAGTCTGGGCAGGATGATGGGGTGTGTTTGGGCCTCTCAGGAGGGAGCTGAGAGTTGATCCAGTGGCCCTCCAGCTGATCAGTGCACCCACGTTACTACGGGTCTGTGGTCTCTAAACTTTGATCCCACTTTCCTGTCAGTTACAATGAATGTTGATCATGTAATTTTCTTATAATTTATGTACATTATAAAATAGGAAGGAAATTGGGAAAATATTTAAAGGGTAAATAGATAGAAGTTCTAATACTCTCTTTCCTTACCTCAGGGACCTTCTTGTTCTTGGGTCTCCTTTCTTCCTCATTTCTTGTTAAGGAATAGTATTGCTTTGGTATAGCCTGAGGTTGAAGTCTTCCAGGCTTAATAACAGATATTAGGTAAAACCCTACCGTGAAGTTAGTATTATTTGTTCTGGTTGAAACCTTTAGGTTTCTTTTATCAAACTGAAACTAGAAATCATATTTTTACCCCACCAGTTTTTTTGAGATAATTGATATATATCACTGTATAAGTTGATTTGACTTATGTATATGTGAAGTGATTACCACAATAAGTTTAGTTAACATTTATCATCTCATATAGATTATGAAAATAAGTTGCTAACATAATGGGTAGGACAGTGATGGTGAACCTAGGACACGCGTGTCAGAGGTGACACGTGAACTCATTTTTTTTGGTTGATTTTTCTTTGTTAAATGGCATTTAAATATATAAAATAAATATCAGAAATATAAGTCTTTGTTTTACTCTGGTTGCAAATATCAAAAAATTTCTATATGTGACACAGCACCAGAGTTAAGTTAGGGTTTTTCAAAATGCTGACACGCCGAGCTCAAAAGGTTCGCCATCACTGGGGTAGGACAAAAGTAAGTTTACAGTTGTTCATATGGAAAATAATAAAATAATTAATGAATAATGATACAAGAATAAACTCTGTTTCATGTACTCACAACTGTAAGCCTACTTTTGCCCTGCCCTGTATATTTTGTGGCGGGTGTTAATCCTCACCTGAGGATATTTTTTTCCATTGCTTTTCAGCAAGAGAGGAAGGGAGGGAGGAGCAGGAGGGGATGGAGGAGAAAGAGAGAAAGAGAAAGAAACATTGATGTGAGAGAGACACATCAACTGGTTGCCTCCTGCACACGCCCAGATGGGGTGGGAGTGAACCTGAAACCCAGGTACGAGCTCTTGACCGAGAACTAAACCCGAGACCGTTTGGTGTGCAGGCCGAGCACACAGGCCAGGGCTCTGTGTTTTAACTTGTGATGCGAGCTCTTAGGATTTACTCTCTTAACAACTTTTCCTATGCATCATACAGTAGTGTTTCCTATAGTCACCATGTTGTACATTACATGCCTAGTATTTTTTTTATTTTATAATTGAAAGTTTGTGCCTTTTGACCACCTTCACCCAGTTCTCCCTTCCCCCCTAGAAATTATCTTTTTTCAGTCATCACTTGAGGATGTTTACTGATTTTTAGAAAGAGAGGAGGGAGAGAGAAACATCGATGTGATAAAGAAACATTGACCGGTTGCCTCCCTTACACGCCCTGACCAGGGATGGAACCCGCAACCTGGGCATGTGCCCTGACCGGGAATCGTACTGGCAACCTTTTGGTGCATGGGATGATGCCCAACCAACTGAGCCACCAGCCAGGGAAGGGTATGTGCACTTTTAATGTTTTAACTTCCTCTTGCTGATATGCCCTCCAGAGCACTGAGCTCCAATATCTGGTAGTCTCATCTGCAGATATGACACCGCACGGTTGAAGCTTTGAAAACAGAAGGTTTATTGGGATTTTCTAGTTTCAAAAGTAAACATGCTCATAGAAATAAGTTTAGAAAGTATAAAAGAAAGATGTGAGAAGTCCCCATTATCTCACTACTTAAAAATAATATTAACAGTTTGGGCATATTTCCTTCCAGTAGTGCTTTCTGTATACTTACTTGTTTTGCTGCGATTGGAATGTGTATACAGTTTTGTCTCCTGGTTCTTTTAAAAACTTGGTTATACCAATTATTTTTATGACGGTAACATAGTGAACTCTCCATCTCTGAGCATTAAAGTTGTCTCTGGGTTTTCGTTATTGCAAATATGTTGTGCTAAACATCTTTGTGCGTAAAAGCTTTCTCTGTATTTGGGGCTATTTCCTTAGTTTAGAGTCACAGAAGTCTAATTACAGTGCTGTATAGAATAAGTACTTCTTAGGGCTTAGGATAAAAGTTACCAAATTCTGTTTCAGAAGAGTGGGGCTCTTACTGATTATGCTTGTAAAGGCTGCTTCTTTACCAAATCTGTTGTCTCCAATTTTCTGTGTGAAGAGAATGAAGCGAGGTGGACACATGCCCGGTGCTAAGGGTGAAGGCGGGCTCTTGCTCACAGCAGCCTGAGTGTATCCTCGCCCAGAGCACCTGATCGCCTCTCTCCTTTAACTATCTGCCTGCCCCACGGCGGCTGAAAGCCAAAAGGCAATGAGCCTGGAGAGCTGCCTCAGCTGTGAGATGGCTGGGCTAATGTCTTATTTGACAAGCCAGCAAGCCCCTCGCTGTACCCCGGCTTTCAGCATTGAGAGTGAGACCACACAGGCTCTTTCCTTTTCTCCCACGTTGTGAGGTTTTAGAGGACCCTGGTGCAGACCTTTCCAAGATGGTGATAAGACGCCATTGCCCCTCTCATCCTGGGTCCACAGCCCTGGAAGTGAGGGTGCTGTGCAGGGAAGGTTCCTAACTTGTTCTTTTACCATTTTCATAGGGAGTCAAAGTGGACACGAGAGACCACAGTGGAGCCACAGCCCGAATGCTGGCCAAGCAGTATGGACACATGAAGATAGTGGGGATGATCGATGCTCACTCGCTTTCTCTGCCCAAGAGCCTCTATCGGAGCCCAGGTACCTGTATCTGTGGCCTCACTCTTTCCTGGAGTCCCTCCCCCTGCTCTCACCTAAGAGATTTGGCTCCTGCAGCCTTGCCAGACCTCTGCCTCCCCTGACGACTCCATTTTGCAGTCAGAGTTGAGGGCTGCTTGTCTAAGGACAAGTTAGTTAGGGTGTAGAGTGGTACCCACCAGGCTGAATTCGGGTACCCAGGATGTGGACTTGTGATGCCCACCCAGACGTAGGAGGGCAGCCTCACAAGGGGACTGGCTTCTGGTTCTTGTTTCTTGACTTTCTTATGGTGTTTGTTGCTGTGCAAAATGTTTTAATTTTATATAGTCAAATACATCAATCTTCTTTCCTCTGGATTTTGAGTTATAAAAATCTTTCCCTGCCCTGGACAGTGGGCTCAGTGGTTAGAGTGTCGGCCCAAGCAACAAAGAGTCTCAGATTCGAATCCTGGTCAAGGGCATGTACCTTGGTTGTATATTCCATCCTGGCCCCCTGGTTAGGGCGTGTGCAGGAGGCAACCAATTGATGTATCTCTCACATTGATGTTTCTCTCTCTCTCTCCCCCTTCTCCCTTCCTTTCACTCTCTAAAGATCAGTGGAGCCCAGCCAGCATGGTTCAGTGGTTGAGCATTGGCCTATGAACTAGGAAGTCATGGTTTGATTCCTGGTCAGGGCACATGCCTGAGTTGTGGGTTTGATTCCTGGTATGGGGCGTGCAGGAGGCAGCTCATCATTGATATATATCTCTCTCTTCCTCTCCCTTCCTCTCTGAAATCAATAAAAAATATATATTTTTAAGAAGATCAATGGTAAAAATATCCTCGGATGAGGATTTAAAAAAAAATCTTTCCCTGTGCCCTAGTTGTACAAGAATTCATCCATGTTTTCTTCTAGTACTGACATGGTTTCATTTTGTGTGTGTGTGTGTGAACTTGAGTATCAGCTTGCCTAGCTCCTTAAAAACAGCATGTTGATATTGAAATTGTGGCAAATTTGTAAATTAACTATCCCTTTATGTTGAGGCATCCCATCTAACAAAAGGAGTGTGCTTTTTGTTCAAGTATACTTTTGTGTCTTACAGAGGGTGTGAAATTTTTCCTCATTATGTTTTGCATATAATTTAAGTGTATTCCTAAGTATGTGGTTTTCTTTGTTGCTATTGTAAATGGGGATCCACTACCATCATATCCTCTAACTGCTTATTGTCTGTGAATATGAAGGCTATGATGTCTGTATACAATTTTTATATTCTTCTGCCTTACTCAGTTATTTCATTGTTTGAGTTAGTTTTATTTATTGATTCTGTAGGGTTTTCCAGGTATATTCCCATATAATCTGCAAATAGAGATAGATTTACTACTTCTTTCTGATTGTTATACCTCTGATTTTGTTTGTTTAGTTTCATTGGCTAATACTTCAGTACAACATGGAGACAGTGGACAGTCACTGAGTCCTGACCTTAGCAAAAATGCCACATTAAGTAAGATGCTGACTTAAGAGTAAGGTGTGTGTGTGTTTATTGATTTTTAGAGAGAGAGGAAAGGAGAGGGAGAGAGAAAAAGAGAAATATCGATATGAGAGAGAAACATTAATTGGCTGCCTCTACACACCCCCTACTGGGATCGAGCCAGCAACCCAGGCATGTGGCCTTACTGGGAATGGAACTGATGACCTCTGGGTACATGGAACAGCACTCAACCAACTGAGCCACATTGGCCAGGGCTCTGTGTGTGTGTGTATTTTTTTAAATTATTGTTGACAGTTTTACAGATATCCCCCATTTCCCCTCCTTTAGGTGTGCATATATAATTTTTAATATTAAAGTATCTGTCATTTCCTTGAGTGTTTTCTACAGAAATAAGTGTTGAATTTTGTCAAAGGCTTTTTCAGCATCTATGGAGATGTTTGTGAGTTTTCTCCTTAGATCTATTAACATGTATTATATTAATGAATTTCCTAATAATGAACCAAGTTTATATTCTTGGCATAAATCCTAGTTGGCGTATTATTTTCCTAATGTGGTGTTGGATTCTGTTTGCTGATATTTTATTTAGTGTTTTGTATGGCTACTCATTCATAAATAATATTGCCTTTTTGCTCTCAGTTTCGAATTTTGGATTTTGGATTTGGTGCTTTTTCCTGTCCTCAGGTGCTGTGGAAGGATGTATAGTTCAGAGTGTCATGTCACAGTTTTTCTGCCTACTCCTCGGCTGAGTTTTGGAGAGAGGGAAGGAATGTTTTCACTTGCTGTGTGTTTGAGTCCTGGTGTTTTTGTGCTCCCTGTGGTATTGGTGTGTCGGCGAAGATCGCTGGTGCGTCTGCATTTCACGGACAGAGCTTAGTGGCCTGGCTAGTGTGTGAGTCCTGGCCCAGGAGCTGCCGTCTCCCAGAGCCAAGGCCAGTCTTCTTACTGGTGGCCTCTTTTTGGAGTGGGATGTAGTTGGACCCAGCATTATAATTTTGTTTTGCCAGATCCTGTACTTCCCCTGGTTGCTTTTTCTCTTCACTACCCAGTTTCCAGAGGTCTCCCTCCCCAACAGCCTGCTGCTCCTCTGACTGTTCCCTCAGCCCCATGTGCATTCTTAGGTCACTTCCCGGGTCGTGCTCCACTCCACCAGGATTCTTTTTCAGTATTTTTGCCCACAGAATGGACTTTGTCTTCCCCATCATCTCTCCTCTGTGTGGTTTTTCCTAGACCTGCTTTGTTGCCCAGAGAATAGAGGAGAGTAAGTCGGTTCTTTTTTGCTGGAAAGGGTCACTTGCCTGCTCCTCGCAGCAGCAGGAACTGTGAAGTTTGCGGTGCTCTCTGCCATGTAGGTCACGTTGAAGGTGTGGGATTTGTGAGGTTCTCTCTGTGGTTCCCGCTGACGTGTGCAGGTCTGAGAGTGCGTGTTGGGAGGTTCAGATTCACGGAGCTGCCTTTTCCTTGGTTCCCCTCCCATGTACACTTATTTTTTGTGATTCCATGTTCTGCTTGGGCGTGACCATGGTCTCCTAGTGAGTTGAAAAGGGAACGGTGGGAGTGGTTCACTTGAGTCACTGGCCCGAGTTTGGAACCAGGGTCAGTAACTCCCTGACTTGCCAGGCAGTCCCTGAGAGTTCACATCTGAGGGAGCCTGCCCTCTTTCCAGGGTCTGGCTCTGCCCAGCTTTCTTCCTGGCCTCAGGATTGTTTTGTAATAAACACCAGCTCACACGAGTACAGTGGTAATCAGAGACTTCTCTACATCTCCACCCCAGCTTATCAACTCCAAAATAAGATCATATCAGATGGGAGCCTGATACAAATATATCCATGAATTTTGCCTTTTAGGTATGATGAAATATAGGAAACTATGAACAGCAATAAAGCAGTAACATTTAAGCCCAGATGAGTGGTAATTTGAAATACTTCCTAAAACAGCACACATAGCTTATTTCCTAAGAAGTTATCGAGATTGACAATATAAAATTGCTAAGAAGTCATGATGCTCCGAATGTTTATGAACAGATATTATTTATCTCTTCAACTTAGAACAAAATTTATTTCCGATTGTAAACATAATACATGCTTGTTACAAAAAATTCTTCAAACCCAGACAATGAGAGGTGTAAGAAATAAGAACTAGACTCCCCCTCATGACAGATGCTTTCAGTTCAGCTCATACTCAGCAAGCTTGCTGTTCCCCAAATGTCCCCATAGCCCATCTGAGCAGTGGACTGGCCCATTATGGCATTTTAAAAAATTATCTTTTTAAAAATTAAAAAAAATGTTCAATTATAGTTGACATTCAGTATTCTCCACCATCTTGACCATAAATCCCATTATGGCATTTCTTACACATGAAGTCCTGGGAAGCTTTTCTGCTTCTTGATTTAAGAAAACCAGTTATGGTGATTGTCTTTCAGTTTATATGAAGATTAGTAAATTAGTCCCTTGCTGGACAAAATTTTTTAAAATAGATTTTTATTGATTTTAGAGAGGAAGAGAGAGGGAGAGAAACGTTTATGTGAGAGAGAAACATCGATCAGCTGCCTCCTGCATGCACCCTGACGGGATTGAACCACACCTGGGTGTGTGCCCTGACTGGGAATTGAATTGGCGACCTTTTGGTGCATGGGATGATGCTCAAACAACTGAGCCTCACTGGACAGACTGGGCAATTGTCTTAACTTTTGTGTTTGACCCACAGAAAAATATGAAGATCTGAGCTCTTCAGATGAATCCTGCCCTGCTCCTCAGAGACAGAGGCCCTGTCGGAAGAAGGGCCTCAGCATCCATGAGGGGCCTCGGGCCTTGGCGAGGATCACAGCCATTGGACTTGGAGGCAAGATCCAGCCGTCTTGCTATGGTGAGTATTCCGTGTTTCCTGATGGCTTTTTGATACTTCGTTCACGCATTCTGTCTGGATGAAAAGGAACAACTCTCAGGTTTCTGAAATGTGGGCCACTGGGTTGGAGCAGCAGCTCAAAGATTCCAAATTGATGACAGTGATGGAAATATATTAGTCAATGGCTAGCTCTTGGGTTTGTGTTCATCCTTTGAGTTTTCTTTTCATGGGTTAAAATTACAAATAACAGCAGCAGAAATGTCACTATGCTCAGATTTGATTCATCACATAGTGAGTCAGCTAGTGCAGGAACAGGGTGCCACTTGAGTCCCACTTCTGGCCTCTGGCTACAGCACCTGGGTGTGATACTTAACACATTTGTGGCCGGAGATGGACATGCCTCTGGGACAGGCCAAGGGCTCTCTCTTGCTCTTTTCTCAGGTGATGGATTTGATGCTCAGACCCTTCTGAGAATTGTTATGTGATGCACTTAGTGGGCTAGAATCCTAGACTCCAAGTTTCCAGACCTCCCGAGTTTATTCTCCAATTGTCAGTTCCTAAATGTTGAGTGCAGTGCCCTTGGGGAGTGCGGGAGGCACCAATAGTTCTTGGAGCAAGTTGGGTTTTATGCTCACTGGCCTGACCAAGTGATCATACTTATGTACAAGTTACATCTTCCATTGATGTCTGTCACCCATCAGTGGCCAGGCCAGGTGCTGGTCTTGTGGGCTGGGTAGGTGGGTCCTCCTTATGAACAGACACCCCTCTTGAGCCTAGGCTTGGAAGAAACCGACTTTCCCAGTCAGAGGAGAGCATTTTCAGTCAGGAGTATGTTAGTAACTCGATTTCCTTCTAAGACGCTTGGAAGGAGTCCTAGGTTGGAAACTGGAGGCCTGCCTTCTCCTGTTGTCCTTGGGGGGTGGGCTGACTGGCCACGGGGAAAGGCCCTCCCCCAGCTGCTGGCAGGCTCCTTGTGCAGGATGAGGGCAGTTCATACCCTTCCTGTCCGGTGTGCTTATAAGCACATGGCTCTGGGACATTGGGCCGACTTGTTTTAGTTTTGAGTGGCAGAGTCTGTTCCTTTTCGAGGAGTCCATGCCACCCGTCCCACCCTGAGATATGGTAGGGGCATGGGAAGCGCGCGCCTTCCCTGGAGGTAGGGTGTAATTAATCTGTGTAGCTATACGACAGATGCTTTTATTAAATGGAATTCTCTCAGGTTATGAAAATAATCCATGGCTGAAGTCCATTTGTACACTATTCTTTTTATGCACCCACAGAGAAGGCTGGAAGAATGTTCACCAAAATAATGATGGTAGTTGACTTGATTGTGGCATTTCAGGCGAGTTTTCTTCTCACAACTTGTGATATTTACATTTTTTATCGGTACATGTAGGCTTTGCCAACAATTAACATTTTAAAATAATGTGCAGATTTTAAAAAGCATTGATAACTACAAAAAGGTATAAAGGAGAAAATAAGTTAGACATGGCTTTGTTAGCCAGTCTGTTTTATGCAAATAAATGTACTTTCTGTGGGCAAGGGGCAGGGCAAAATGGGAATGGAACTCTCTGGTTTGTGTTCTGCTTTTTCTCCTTGTTTTCTTGCAGGCAGATACGTCCAAAGGTTGTATAATTTGGTGTTACTATAGTTAATTTTTAGCCCGGGGCCTCCAACCTTCCTGCTTAGCCAGATCTATTTTTGACCGGGGTTGACTGACCCGAAGAGGGAAAAACCCTTAGATGCCTGTGCCCCTTCGATGCCAGGGGCCATAAAGGCTGGCATGTGAGATTAGTGCTTCCAGCTAAAAGGTACACTTTTTCCTTGGCTCAGGAGTCTGTAAACACAGCTTAGCATTTCCTACTCTCTCTTTTTTTTTGCATCCAAAATCTTCTTAATTACAAGGTAGGATCTGTGGTTATTTTTTTTGTAGCTGCAGCTAACCTGTCAGCCTCTTGCACATTTGAACTTCCGGCCCTTGAATCGTACGTAGGGTTTGGTGTGGCTGTGAGGGGTTCCTGGGGCCTTGCCGAAATGCCTGTACACTCCGAGGCACTTGCATGCATAAGAAAGCAAGACAGGGCCACAGCCCTTGGGGGAGTCCAGGGCCAGCTGGTCGAAGGTGAGGATCTTGCCCCTGGCCTTAAGGATGCGGCTACAGGAGCGCTGCTCACACTAAGTGCACACACCTCCAGTCTGGCCACCTTCTAGGCTGGAAGCTTCATCTTCCAGACCATCCGGGAAAGGGACAGAGGAGGCCTGTTGGTGCGACTCGAACAACCTCTTCAGCACCACTTGGTTGAAGGTGGAGTTGGTTTGTCTGGCCAAAAACCTGTATAGCTTGACCAACAGCCTTAGGACGATGTCCTGGATCTTGGGCTCCTTATGCCGAACCTTTCAGTCTTCGTTGATGTTGTGGCAGATGTCGACTCCCATGATGACCCATTTCCTTCTTTTTCATTTGGAAAATAATAGCATAGTGTGGGAGAGGGCACCAGGCTTGACCAGGTGCTTTGACTCCACCAAGCACTTGCTGTGGGACACAGGATTGTCTCTCAGCTCCTCGGAGCCTGTCTCCTCGCCTGCAGACTGCACGTGACATTATGTCCAGGTTACTGTGGCGAGTGGATGAGTTCATGGCCAGGAAGATACAATTTTCCTTCCTGCCTGCCTAGATCCTGGTCTTCCCTTATGCTGAGGTCCCTCTGAGGAGGTGGTCACGTTGGGAAGGAGGAACTTGTCTTCCCTTTTGTGTTCGTGTGGGTTTATGTGCCCCATTCTGTTCACAGAGCAGGTGCCTCCACGGGGCTATGTCACCTTCAACAGTAGTGATGAGAACCCCCTGGAAGGAAGGGGCTTCTGCTACCGGGATGTGACTTCCCCCATCAACGACCGGGACGTGGAGAGCAGCAGCAGCAGCAGCCGGGGTATGTGTGCCACCCCTCCCCATCCTGCTGGGGCTCGCGTGCTGTGATGAGTCTGTCTGGTAGAGAAGAAGAGGGTGAAAGACATAGAAAGACTTTCCTCCCTGGCTCTGGAGGAAAGTCAAAGAACCTGGCATGGCCCAGAGGGAAGCAGCTTCCAGCCAGTGTCTCTGTGCCTGTGTGCAGGGTCTGGGGGAGTTGTTCTAGACAGGTTTAGCTTCTTGATTGGTGAGCCCAAAGGGAATGTCTTTGCTATAATACATGTATCGTCCATTCAGCAGCTGCTTACTGAGTGCACTGTGTGCCAATCATTGTTCTAAATGCTTGGGTTTACCAGTGAACAGAACAGACAAAAACGCTGTCCGTGTGTGTCGAGGGGAGGGGTCGGCCAGGCAGTCAGCATGAAACACAGTAAACTAAGGAGTTGATGAGGGCTGTGGATGAAACAGCTCAGGCTCTGGGGAGTCACCTATAGTCAGGTGTCCGTGTCTTCACTGTTGGCAGAAGAGCAGGCCTTCTGTGCCCACCTTGGGGCTGTGCGGAGCAGCAGCAGCAGCGAGGGCCTGGCGAGAGCCCCGGGAGTCAGCAGCGAGGCCTCTTTGGAGAGCAATGAGGTGAGGCCTCTCCTTATTCCTTATCTCTCATCTCCTTCCCCTTTTTCGGTGTCCTGGGGGAGGCTAACAGTTCATCTGAGACGGGCAAGTCTCATAACAAGGACTTAATGCTTGTCTGTGCTGTGTTAGGACATACCAGGTTCGGGGCCACTCTCTAGACCAGTGATGGTGAACCTTTTGAGCTCGGTGTGTCTGCATTTTGAAAAACCCTAACTTAACTCTGGTGCCGTGTCACATATAGAAATTTTTTGATATTTGCAACCATAGTAAAACGAAGACTTATATTTTTGATATTTATTTTATATATTTAAATGCCATTTAACAAAGAAAAATCAACCAAAAAAATGAGTTCACGTGTCACCTCTGACACGCGTGTCATAGGTTCGCCATCACTGCTCTAGGAGAACCGCCTGGGATTGGGTGACCTCAGTGGAAGCCTCTGTGTGGCAGGTGGGGGAGTTTCAAATCTTACCTCCACTGTGAGGGAAGTGGCACAGATTGAGAGTAGAAGCTGGAATCATGGGGCAGAGAGCAGTTTGGATGCAGCCACGTCAGCTGCAAGACTTCAATGTTACTTTATTTTTTGAGCAATTCTGTTGTGGTTCTATTTTTCTGTAAGGGATTTGTCCAAGGTTCCACAACTACTTAGTAACAGAGCTGGGATATGAACCCAGCTCTAGATGACCCCAAAGCTCATGCACTCTTCCTCTGTCCATTTTTTCTTTTAATCCTCACCCAAGGATATATTTTTTCCATTGATTTTTATAGAGTGTGGGAGGGAAAGGAGGAGGGAGGGGGAGAGAAACATTGATGTGAGAGAGACACATCAATTGGTTGCCTCTCACACGCGCTCCAACTTGGGCCAGGGACCAAACCTGTAACCCAGGTATGTGCCCTTGACCAGAAATCGAACTTTCTGCCTTTCGGTGTGCTGGCCAACACTCCTAACTCCTGAGCCGCACCAGACCAGGGCCTTTATTTTTATTCCCATTTCCCCACCCCTCTCCCCTTTGGTAACCATTAGCTTGTTCTCTATATCTGTAGTTCTGTTTCTGTTTTGTTTGTTTTTGGAGTTATATATTAAGTGAAATCATATGGTATGTCTTTCTATGACTTACTTTACTTAGCATAATATCCTCTAGGTCAGTGGTTCTCAACCTTCTGGCCCTTTAAATACAGTTCCTCATGTTGTGACCCAACCATAAAATTATTTTCATTGCTACTTCATAACTGTGATGTTGCTACTGTTATGAATCGTAATGTAAATATCTGATATGCAGGATGGTCTTAGGCGACCCCTGTGAAAGGGTCGTTCGACCGCCAAAGGGGTCGCGACCCACAGGTTGAGAACCGCTGCTCTAGGTCCATCCATATTGTTACCAATAGCAAGATTTCATTCTTTTTTTATTTTTTAAAATATGTTTTTTCTTTTTAGAGAGAGAGGAAAGAAGAGGGAGAGATAGAAACATCTATGAGAGAGAAACATTGATTGGCTGCTTCCCACATGGCCCCTACTGGGAATCAAGCCCACAACCAGGGCATGTGCCCTGACCGGGAATCGAACTGGTGACCTCTTGTTACATGGGATGATGCTCAACCAACTGAGCCATACCGGCCAGGTAGATTTTATTCTTTTTTATTGATGAGTAACATTCCATTGTATATATGTACCACATCTTTTTTACCTATTCATCTGTTGAATACCTAGGTTGCTTCCATATCTCAGCTATTTATTAGTAATACTGCAGTGAATATAGGAGTGCATATATATTTTTGAATTAGGGTTTTTTCTTCTTCAGATAAATACTTAGAACAGGGGATTGCTACATCATATGGCAGCTCTATTTTTAATTTTTTCAGAAATTTCCATATTGGCTGCACCAATTTACAATCCCACCAATAGTGTCTGAGGGTTCCTTTTTCTCCACTTACTCACCAACATTCTTTATTGGCTTATTGATGATAGCCTTTCAGACAGGTGTGAGGTGATAGCTTATTGTGGTTTTAATTTGTGTTTCCCTGATTAGTCTTCCAGTGTTACTTTAAACACACATACCTCTTGCCACAGGATTCAGATAATGCACGTAAAAGCTCAGCTCGCAAGCAAACTAAAAGTTACATGAAGACCAAGAATCGCTACAGCAACAGTGACAACCAATGGCCTCCTAGCACTGGGACTTCCGGGGTGGCCTGTTCCCCAGGATCTACCCCCCAGACCGAGAGGTTCCCCTATTCAGGACCCCAGGTAAGACCTTTGTGAAACTGGTGGTTACACTCTTTGTGATTTGTGAGGCATTTGTTGTGTGCTTACAGTGGGCAAGCACTGTTAAGAGAGTGTGGTGGCTCTTCCCCAAATGACCTGTGAAGCTTCTTGGCCTAAGAGGATTCCTAAGGTCAGAGGTGCCCTTCCCATAGGAGAGCCTGTCCCTTCCCATAGGAGAGATCTGTCTCTCCCTTTGGTTACCATGCTCATTTCTATACTTGACTCAGCCCCCCTGAGCTTTCAGGAGTTGCAGAGACACAGTGGCACATAGTATGTACGTAATGAAAATTGCTGTTTCTGCCTTCCTCATTATGGGTCACTCTGGCTAAGCAATATCTTAGGGTTTACAGGTGTGACATAACAGCTCAACTGTCTAATGTGTGTTTATCGAATTCTCTTGCCCTCAGTGGGCATAGGTGATACAAGATGAAATGCAGGTGAGTACTTGCCATTTATTTGTTCAAGTCACAGCTCTGCTGTTCACTAGAAGCCTATGATTTTGCTGGCTTCTCCTTGCCCCACCCCATCCCCTGGGAGCTATCTCCAGGGCCTGTATTCCCAGCTTCTGCAAGCAGCTGCACCACTCAAGTCCTTAAATGCATCTTGATTGGAGAGTTGTTGGAATCTTAAAAGCTGTTTCAGAAAGTAGGTTGAAGAAAATGATGGAGTAACAACTTTTGAAAATTTGCTCCTCTATAAAGACAACATTGAAACTGGCAAAAGTGGCCAGAATCAATTTTTTCCCAGAAACTTGTGATTCAAACTAAAGGCTTGTAGCAGCCTGGAGAGTGTTTATTCAAGAGAAATGACTGACTCTCAGAACTGTGAGCTGTTAGCATTTTAACTTGCCCTGGTCCAATTCTTCCACTCTCCAATGCCACGGTAGCTGTGACAGCCACTGGAGCGGGTAGAGCAGAGCTGGCGTGCTTTCAGAGTTTCATTCCACAGAGTTGGCATTACTAGACTATCTGATGGTTCCCTCGAAGACATGCTTATTACAAGACTGTATTACACTAGTAAGACTCGGGCTTATCTACTCAACACCAAAAGTCCTCTCGTTGGAGGACATAGTGAAAATCACACGGGGAAATGTTTTGATTTTGCAGCTGTCTGGGGTATTTGATAACAGCTTGGGTGAAAGATTAACCACAAAGCTTAAAAGGAAAATCCGGGGAAGGAGATGTCCAGAGGAGCTTTGAAAAGCTCTGACTTATCCTGGGAATCTAAGAGGCCACATATGTGCTCAAGGCTGTGTATGGTTAAGAGTACCTGAGAGTACCCCCAATGATCTTGGGTTTTGAGCAAGCAGGAAGCAAAGGCTAGGCCAGAATTGTCATCTGCCTGGCTGATGCTGAATATGTGCCCCAACAAGCACACAGAGCTGTTCGGCAAAGACTGGGAGATTTATTGGTTTTAGTGTTTAGGAGATCTCTGTCCAGTCCTCAGCTGATCACTAAGCTAACTGAGTAGAGACTTCAGTAGCCACAGACCAGAAAGAATACAGACAACAAACCCCAGAGGGAGGAGAATTAGATCTCCAGAGCTGCCTCATGAAAATGTCCAGTTTTCAACAGAAAAAATATATGCAGAGAACAAGGAAGAATGACTAATAAATAGTAAGAAAAGGCAATAGTAGAAGCTGTCCCTGAGGAAGTCCAGACATTGGACTTGTTAGTTAGACAGAGACTTGAAATAAGTTTTAAAAAATATGTTCCAAGAGCTTAAGGAAACCACATCTAAATAGAAAATATCAAGAAAGTGATATAAATAAAAATGAACTAAATAGGAATTCTGGAATTGAAAAGTATAATAACTGAAATGAAAAAGTGGCTCTAGAGGGGCTCAAGAGCAGATTTGAGCACACAGAAGAATCAGAAAACTTGACATAGACCAATTGAAATTATCCAATTTGAGAAATAGAAAGAAGAATGAAGAAACATGAGCAGAAACCTGTGAGCCACCATCAAATATACCAACATGCATATATGGTGTTCCAGAAGAGGGAGAGGAAAGCAGAAAAAATGTTTTAAAAATAGCCAAATCTCCCCAAATTTAATAGAACATGAATCTGCACATCCAAGAAGCTAAATAAACTCTAAGTAAGTTAACTCAGGTCCACACCTAGACCAACATAATCCAACTGTCAAAAAAATACACAAGAGAATCTTGAAGGAAGAAAAATGACTCATTACCCCAAAAGGACTTGCAATAAGATTAACAGCTAATTTCCCCATCAGAAACCATGGAAACCAGAAAGACATCTGACGACATAGTCAAAGTACTGAAAGAAAAATAACCAAGAATACTATATTCAGCAAAAACTGACCTTCAAAAGTGAAGGAGAAATTAAGGCATCCCCAGGTAAACAAAGTCTAAGAAAATTTGTTGTTTGCAGACCTGTCCTTCAGGAAACACTAAAGGCGTCCTTCAAGTTGAAATGAAAAGACACTAGATCCAAATACACAAATAAGTGTCCCTGGACTCCCTACTCTCTCTCTGAGGGCACAGGGAGGAGGGGCAGAATGGGCTTCTGCCTGCACTCAAGTCACTGTCCCACTGCTGAACTTGGGGATCAGTAGGGCTCAGATCTCCCCCTTAAAAGCAATCTCACGGCCCGACTGGTGTGGCTCAATGGTTGAGCATTGACCTATGAACGAAGAGGCCACAGTTCAATTCCTGGTCAGGGTACAGGCCCAGGTTGCGGACTCGATCCCCAGTGGAGGGCATGCAGGAGACAGCTGATCAGTGCTTCTCTCTCTCTCCCTCTCCCTTCCTCTCTGAAATTAGTAAAAATATATTTTTTTAAAAAGCGACCTCACGAATGCACACTTAGCAGGAGAAAAGTGGCTCCACCTTGCATCATGTGCCTTTTTTTGTCCCCATGTCTTTGTGACCTGCCCGTTCGCCAACCTGTCCTGGCCTCTCTGCCCACTAGGACCTTGCCACACTGTTGGAGCAGATAGGGTGTCTGAAGTACCTGCAGCTGTTTGAGGAACAGGATGTGGACCTTCGAATCTTCCTGACCCTCACTGAGAGCGACCTGAAAGAAATCGGCATCACGTGAGTCCAGAGGCCATCTGTGGCTGCGTGCCCCTTGTCTCTGGGACCGTCTGATGTTGCAGCTTTCCAACATTTGGAGAGAGAGTTGCCCTCTCTAGAGGTCGGCTGTCTTCTCCATTCTTAGACGTAGATGGCCTGAGTCTTGTGGCTTCTCAAGCTGGCCTGGCTCAGTGCTGTATTCAGGGAACCCAGACACTTTCTGCCTGTTCACTTTTGAGAACTTTCCAAGTTGGCAAACATAGCCTGGAGCCAGCTGGCTTGTTTCCTACTTAGTGACAGCAGCAGCACGGCTGGGAAGGGGACCAGGTGCAGGGGGGCTCCAGTGAGGTCATCACTTCTTACAACCCTTTGTTTCTGTCCTCTGGCTACTCTCCCTCTTCAAGGATCTTTCCTAGGGAAACCATGGTCTGTGGAGCTTTCAGGCACATGCAAATGCTGATCCAGGTTCTTTTCTCATCCCCCGATAGGTTGTTTGGACCCAAGAGGAAGATGACTTCTGCCATTGCCCGCTGGCACAGTAGTGCCCGCCCACCCAGTGACGCCCTGGAGCTGGCCTATGCCGACAGGTTGGAAGCTGAGATGCAGGAGCTCGCCATCCAGCTGCACAAAGTAGGTGGGAGGCAGGGGGCGGGAGTGTACATGCAGAAATGGCAAGAGAGGTGTCTGGAGACACACACCTGCAGAGAAGGACACAGTGATAGGACAGTGAGGGCAGAAAGCATGACAGCTCCTACCGTGAAGGGGAGATATGCAGGCAGGCCCGCAGGAAGAAGGCCCAGAAAGGTATGGGACATTCGGTGGAGGTCAGGTGGACATCCACAGGAGAGAAGAGAGAGGGTGAGGCCAGAGAACAAGAGGCTGGCGTGGACCCCAGTGGGCTCACAGGAAGGGACCCAAAGCAGGGGAGGCTCCAAGGTAGAAACAGGCCTCCCATTCCAGGAGAGAGACAGGCAGAGACAGAGGATGGGGGTGGTTCCCGGCCATGGCCTGGGGCCTGTGTCTCCTGCATCCTTGGCCCACTTGCCTGCCCCATCTGTTGGCCTACCAGCCCCACCTCCCACCTCTCCCTCTCCAGCGCTGTGAGGAGGTGGAGGCCATGCGGGGCCAGGTATCCCAGGAGCAGGAGCTGCGGGCTGTGGTGGAGAGCTGCCTCCTGGAGCAGGACAGCACCCGCAAGGACATCCTTGCCCAGCTGCAGGAGACCTGGGCCCTGGCCCAGGATGCTGCTCTCATCCTGGACCAGCTACAGTGAGTAGGCACCTGAGTTGATCGAGTTCCCTCCAGATTCTTCAATCAAGGATTTGCTTTCAGGGCCTCCCGAGTCACTCCTTGCCTGCCCCCCAACTCCCCACTCCCCACCCCTCACCCCCTGCCCATTTCATTCTAGCTGTTCCTCCCTACAATGTAGACCAGGCAGAAGTAGGGCCATGAAAATCTGCATACCCTACGCAAGCTCTCTGCCTTCACTAGGGTGAGAGCTTGTCAGTGTGGGTGGGTGCGGGGGGTGCTTGCCAAGCCCAGGAAGGTGGGCTGTGGGGACACTCAAAAGTGGGGATGTCTGCCGTCCCCTGCCCTCTGGGACCATGGAAGGCAGTTGCCAGGCTTTCCCCTTACCAGCACTTGGTCTTGTGTTCTGCAGAGCCTGTCAGGCTGAGCTGTCAGCCCGAGTGAAGCAAGACGAGTCCCCTCTGGGGGCCACCCTAGGCCCAGCCCTCCCTACAGCTGGTAAGGAGAGCAGTGTCCTGGGCCAGAACTGGGCAGAGATGCCTCCTCAGGCTGGGTTTTACCACGTCTCGATGGTTATCACATTTACACTCCCAGGTCCCCTTGCAAACACAATCCCAGACTCTAGGGTGAGGGCACCCTGCCCTCCTCAGCCCATTTCCTTAATGTCCCTCCTGGTGGTTGGAGGCAAAGCCCTTGGGCCATTGTGACTGTGCTGTCCAAGACCTCAAGTGACTTCTGCAGCCTCCAGTTGGAGCCCGGGCTGGGTCCACCCCAGGGCGTAGCCTCATGGGAGGCCAGTGATCCCCCCCACACTTCATTCCTGGGGCCAGGCCCTGACCAGCAGTTACTGCTTTGGGTAAGCAAGCAGAACCTATTTTGATGTAACAAGGGGGTCACACAGGCACTGACAATTGGGTGGGACTCCTGGTCACAACAGTTCAGGACAGAGGCAGGGCCTGTGAGCACACAGACCCCAGGCTCACCCAGCCTTCTGCCCCATAGACTCCAAAGGCTGGCAGGCCTCCCTGCAGGCCCTGAGCCTCCCCCAGCTGTCGGGAGCATTGGAGGACCGAGTCCATGAGATGGGTGAGTCTCTGGGAGGGCAGCCAGTGACCCTCGCCCCCGCCCAGGGACCAGACAGGAGTAACAGGAAGAGCCCTTAAGTTTAGACCCCTAGGGCAGCCCCACTACAACCTACTGACCTTCCAGGTCATCCATTCCTAGTGCCCCCCGAGGCACCCCTTCTTCCCATTGCTGCCCACACTTGCAAAGCAGACTCTGTTCCCATCTTCAGGGCGAGTGCTGTGCTCGGTGACCCAGGGCCTGGAGAAGCTGCAAACGCTGAATGGGAAAGAGAACTGGCGGGAGCCTTAGTCTGAGGGATGGTGAGTATCAGCCCAGGACCCAATCTGGGACAGCAGGGTCCACTGGGAGCTAAGCGAACGCCCACTTCAGTCCTCCCTTTTCCTTCTCAGAATCTGACGTTGGGTGACTGATCCACCCTGAAGCTGTGTGCCCGGAAGACAGGAGGGCAGTGAGTGGGCAGTTGCAGCAGCCCAGGTCCCAGCTGGGGCCAGAGGATCGGCCCTCGGGAGCAGCTGGCAGAGAGACAGGACCAGGCTGTGGCTGGTGCCAGGCAGCAAGGCCCCCACAGAAGCAGGACGAGGGCCTTGCCCTGAACCTGGTGGTAAGGCCCAGAGCAGACAGGACCTTGGGGAGAGAGCGTGTCCCCATACACCACAGGTGCCACACTCAGATTTGCCCTGATGGGTGAGGACGGGCATCTGGGCAGCATATGTCATTTGCTGGAAAATAAAATGTAAGATCAGCTGGTGAGGGGCTCAGTTCTGGTCACACATGTAGTGCTGGCTAACATAGCAAAGCAAGGGGAAAGCCATGTCAGGACCCCCAGCTCCAGTGACTGGCTGGGGCCCAGGCTTCCTCGCCAGGACAGAGAATACTGTGCTTATAGGGGTGCTGACTTGGTGACCCCTCCTGCCCCATGGTCCCCAGCAGCTAGGGCTTTTGCTCAGAGCCCCCGTGATTCGATAGAAGCTACCTGGAGAGCCAAGCACACCCCATGCCCCAGGAAATGAGAGCGGAGCAAAGTACAGGTATTTTATTTACAGAGTGGAGTGCCTTCGCCCAGTGTGGCTGCTTCATCAAGGCTCTAAGGTGGAACAGGTGCCCAGGCTGGGCAGGGAGCACCGCTTTTCTTAGGCTGGGTAGGCACTGTGGAGACTTTCCAGTAGCTTCACTGAGTTTAGCCAGACTTGGGGCCATAGGAGACTGCCAGTGGTGACCTTCCTGCCTGTGGTGGCTCTGCTGTTGTCATTCTGCACACTTGACGGGTATTTCCAGACCATCTCTGGGAGCTGCCTGTAGACCATACTGGGAATGGAGAAAAGGAGGCTTTCAAAGCACAGGAAAGAGCAGCAGGCTCAGCCTAGCGGTACAGTCACCAGGATCACAAAAGGGGCCTCTCTGGACGGTCTCAGCACAGAAGCCCAGACCAAGCCGACAGCCCAGAGAGGTCCGTGGCTGGTAGTACCACAGGTGAACAGGGAGGTGGACAGCAACCCCACCTCAGACGAGGTCTGTGACAGCGTAACTCTGAATGGTGCCAATGCTCTTAGACTTGGCCCTGACCTTAAGTCTTAGGTAGTGAGAGAAGGAAGGGGACAACCTCCTGTGCCCTGCCTTGAGCCTGCAGTCAGGACCAAAGAATAGAGCAGCAGAGGAACCACTTTACTGTCCCTTCAACAACTTCATCTATTAGCTGGGCCCATGACCCTGACTGCCCTTGGGGACCAAGCACCAGTGGGGTCAAGTGAAGCCTCACCCATAGTTCATACAACACAGAAAAGGAAATCTTAAGCCAGTAAAGCTAACAGCTAAAATTAACAGCACAACATCCTACCCAAACTGGCTGTCCTCTAGGCCCTGAGGCTGGCACAGAGGGCAGGATGCAGGAATGAGTCAACTGAGACAAAGGCATCCACCTTGAGAACCAAGTTCTCATTGGTCTAAGTGTCTGTGCAACCACCCACTTGGAAAATCAGGCAGTGCCTGCGCCTCCACCAGCCCATGAGACTCTCAGGTGGGTTTGAGCCTCAAGGTGGATAAGAATGTCCTGAGCCTGGACAGCCAGGCCCGCCACCCCCAGGCCACCCACTGACCAACCTGAGAAGGTCCCACCTGGCCCTGTGACTGCTTGAGGCAGCAGAGATGATAAGACGCCCACTGGCCCCATGCAGTCAGAAAGGGTTACACACACAGAAACACGCTAGAAGACACTCCCACAGGACTTCAGGGCCCTCAGCCCTGGACACCAGCCAGGGGAGGGCAAAGACGCAGTACAGGAGCAACCTCAGGAAGAAGATGGGAGCAGCTTCTCCAGGGCCTTCTTCTGCTTCTCAGTGGCTGCAGCCACAGCTTTCAGCCAGCTTTTCCTCGGGCATCATGTTGAGCACCTTGAGGGCGAAGAGGAGCTGGTACTTAGCCGTGCTGATGAAGGCATTGCTCAGGAAGTTGGGAAAGCCACCAACTCGGTCCTTCTGGGTGTACAGCGGGACCCGCACCAGTCCCAGCACCTGCACAAAAGGGGACCAGAGTTGGGGCCGGCCCCCCCACACCAACAGCACAACCCTGGTAGGAGGGGCCTGTAAGCTGCTAGGCCAGGGGAAGGGAAAGCAGGTTGCCAAGGACAATGGGAGACCGCGGCAGGGTCTGGTGAGGCAGAAGCCAGCCAGCTCCTTTGGAGCAGTGCAGCCCTCTCCCGGCCACCTCATGCACTTCCCACCCTCTGCATCCTCATGTTCCAGCCTCCCACCCGCTGGTAGGAAGCCCCCCAGTCCACACCCCATGCTCCCCCTTGCAGAAGGTGAATCCCCAACACAGCAACTGTCACTCCCAGCCCTTCCAGACCCTAACACCCCCAAATCACAAGAGCCCTCAACCCCTGCACCACGCAAACCCAACCTTCATTCCCAGTTCCCCTTTTTGCTCTTCAACTTCCCACCTCCTCGAGCAGGTCCCGCCCCATCCCATCCCCCCAACCAATCCCACTCCCCACCCCCAGGATTGGCAATGGCAGGCAAGGCGGATGGAACACAGCCCCGAGGGAGCCCCAGCCTCCCACCGGCACCTCAGGTCCCTCTCCCTACCCCGAGGCTGCAGTCACCCCCCCACCCAGCCCTGCCAGGGGACCCTCAGGAGGACGTGTTACCCATCGGTGCCTTCCGCAGGGCCAGAGCCAAACCCCGGGGTGGGGGGCGGGGCCCGGGCGGCGGCCCCACCTCCAGGCCGTGGTCGCGCGAATGAACCGCGCTGATCTCCACGGCGTGCAGCTGCTCCAGCGTCAGCTGCCGCGCGTACAGGTGCGCCACGACGCGGTGCGGGCCCTCGGTCAGGTGCGAGCTCAGGTAGTCGGCCTCCGTGAGGCGCAGGCAGCCCAGGCCCAGGCCCAGCACCCGGTTCAGTCCGTCCTCCAATGACCAGAAGCGCCGGTCCACGAAGCCCCCGGGGAAGCCCAGCAGCCCGTCGAAGCGCATCTGCATCTACAAGGGAGCGCCGGGTCACGGGCGCGGGTCCGAGCGACGTCCCGCCCACGTCCGCCCGCCCGCGTCCTCACCAGCACCGAGAAGCGCATGGGGATGCGGCCGAAAAGCTGCCCGGGGTTGGCGGCGTACAGCATGGCGTGGCAAGAGTGGCTCCAGCCCGGCCCCAAGCGCATCGCCTCCACCCGGCTGATCTGCTTCAGCTCTGGCACCGCAGCCGACATCTTGTTACTACCCCCCGCGCCGCGGCGCCTCCCCTTAAGTGCGTGCGCTGGCCCGCCCCCGCCGCACTGGCCAATCCGCGGGCAGCCGCGCTCCCTCCACCAATCGCTGATGCGCATCGGGACAGAGCCCACCGCGACGCGTCGTTGAGAGGCGCAGGGGCGTGTGCAAAGGGAGGGACGGCGCGCACCGCGGCCGCACCCAATAGCCTCCGAAACCGGACGCCGGCCCAGCTCCGGGCACCACAACGCCCGGCAGGCAACGCGCGAGCCGAGCTCCACCTCCGCCTGCTGCGTGCGGAGCCTGCGGGGTTGGGGCAGTGAGGAGGGCAGCGGGGTCTTCCGAGACCACGTCGCCCGTGGCGAGGCCTTCCCCCAGCGCCTCCTGGGGCACGTGGGCGCCCCCTGCCTCTCCCTACAGCCCTTCCCTGCAGGCACGCTTCACAGTCCTGGGCGCCTACACCTGCAAAGCACTCCGGGTCTGCCTGACTCCATATCAGCACGAAGGGCCTGGGGGAGATCCAACTGCCCCACAGGGCGAGTCCACGCGCAGCCCTGGGCTGGGGGCGGAGGACGAGAAGCCCCAGACTCCCCACACCCAGTTGGCTAGGGCCAAAGTGACTCAAGTCCCGGGCTGGGAGCTTCCGGGCCCAATGCCCCGTGTCCTCCAAGTCAGGCCCCAGATGCCAGGTACTGTTAGAGGAAATAGGGTCTCCCCAATTTCCGAGGGGGAGGAGGACCCTGGGCTCATAGGGGCAGGCCTTGCCCAAGGGCACTCCACAGTTGGCGATGGAGCCAGGATCCTACCCTAGATCTCCACCCTGTCTCTTGCCCCGTGTCCACGACAGAAAACCGGCCTTCTGCCTCAGGTACTTACCCCACGTTTGTGCAGAAGGAAGCCGCGGGGGTTCTGAGTCCTGGTGCCACTTCCACACACTAGCCCAAGCTCCACGTGCCTCCCCATGGTGAGCATGGATTTGCTGAGTGAAGCAGCTCAGGATGGGTACCACGGGCACAGCCTCAGAGTCTGTGGGCACGGGGAAGGCTGCTCTGAGCAGGGCTGAGGAGAGGAGAGGAGGCAGAGGCAGGCAAGGGTGGTAGATCTACCAGAAACTAATGTTTGGCCGATGGTGTATTCTGTTCAGAAGAAGTGGAAAATAAGGACCCAAAGAGGGTGGCCCCTCTCCCCAGCTGTGGCATCTGCCAGTCAGGGCTCAGAGGAGCAGCTGCAGCTGACAGGCCAGGTCCCAGGCCAGTATCAGAAGGGGAGAGGTCCCTGAGGGGAAGGGCCCAATCAGAGAGGACCCTATCTCCAGGCGGCAGGGGCATGACCCAGGGCCAGAGTGCAGCAGGGGGCACAGAGGAAAGGTACCCTGTGCCCAATCCCTCCCTGACACCAGACGTGAATGAACAAGGTGGGTCCATTTGGGGAAGTAAGGAGGGAGATCCAGTGTAGCCCATGCAGGAACGCATCTGACACTGAGCATCTTCCTACCCACACTGGCACAACCAAGGTGGCAGTCCGTCCTCGGGGCAGGGATTGGCCAACCAAGTGCACTGTTTCCATTCTCTAGGGCAGTGATGGCGAACCTTTTGAGCTCGGTGTGTCAGCATTTTGAAAAACCCTAACTTAACTCTGGTGCCGTGTCACATATAGAAATTTTTTGATATTTGCAACCATAGTAAAACGAAGACTTCTATTTTTGATATTTATTTTATATATTTAAATGCCATTTAACAAAGAAAAATCAACCAAAAAAATGAGTTCGCGTGTCACCTCTGACAGCGTGTCATAGGTTCACCATCACTGCTCTAGTGCCTGAGCTGAAGAAGGGCCCAGTGGCCCTGGCCAGTGTGGCTCAGTTGGAGTGTTGCCCAGTAAACCAAAAGGTCATGACATACCTGGGTTGTGGATTCGATCCCTGGTCTGGGTGCATGTGGAAGGCAGCCAGTTGATGTTTCTCTCTCACATGGATGTCTCCCTCCCTTCCTGTCTGTCTAAAATCAATAAACATATCCTTGAGTGAGAATTAAAAAACAGAAGGGGCCTGGCTGGCGTGGCTCAGAAGTTGAGCTTTAACCTATGAACCAGGAGGTCATGGTTCGATTCCGGTCAGGGCACATACCTGGGTGGCGGGCTCGATCTCCAGTATAGGGTATGCAGGAGGCAGCCAATGATTCTCTCTCATCATTGATGTTTCTATCTCTCCTTCTCCTAAAATCAATCTAATCTAATGAAAGAGAAACATGCAAATTGACCGCACCTCTGCTACGCCCAAGCCACGCCCACCAGCCAGAGTGACTATATGCAAATTAACCCAACCAAGATGGCGGCCGGCAGCCACAGAGCTGGAGCAAGCAGGAGGCTTGGTTGCCCCGGTGATGGAGGAAGCCAAGCTTCCCGCCTGCCCTGGCCGGCTGTGGCCTCCGCTCAAGGCAACAAAATTTCAATTATAGCAGATAAATAAATCCCAGATACCTGCTTCCAGCCAGCCTCCACACAGCCATCAGCCCCTCACCCAAGCTGGCCAGGCACCCCAGCAGGATCCCCCTCCCTGAAGGGGGTGTGGCCAGCCTGAAAACGGCCCTCAGCCCCTCACCCAGGCTGGCCAGGCACTCCAGCAGGGACCCCCACCCTGAAGCGGGTATGGCCAGTATGAAAATGGCCCTCGGCCCCTCACCTAGGCTGGCCAGGCACCCCAGCGGGAACCCCACCCTGATCTGGGACACCCTTCAGGGCAAACCAGCTGGCCCCCACCCATGCACCAGGCCTCATAATATGCAAATTGTCCCTAACA